CAGTTGGATGTTTGCCAATAATTGTGATCTGAGCTATAGGAGAGATGATGAAGAGAAAAAAGGTGAATAAAAACACTAAATATGTTTAGAACTGCAATTAAACTTAATGAAATAAAAATAATTTTATGACTTCAATGCTTAGATCCACATAAATTTAATTAGTGGGAATCTTAAATTTAATCTGCAGACAGTTCGATGTCACGAGACACAGGGAGGAAGAAGTGAAGAAGTGACTGATCTGGGAGTCAAACACAGCTGGGTCCAGAGATTTAGTTTAGAGAGACAGTAACAGAGAAAAACATTACAATAAATATTACATCCCGCTTTGTAAACCACAGAGAAGCAGTGACAGCTTTGCRCATGCGTGATTCATTTGCAGCGGTCTCTCCTCTCAGCTGACTTCAGCCGAGGCTGGGGGTAGGGTTGGGGGTGTTCTGTCAGATCAGCATACATGCCAGAGTAGCATACATGCCGCTAATGCGCATGCGCGGGCATGCACATTCTGCAAAAGGTCCGCGACTTGCAGAGGAGCCATCAGATCAGCATATGGCAGCATACACAACAAGATAAAAGTAAGCCAATAAATTGTTGTAAGGCTACATATGCATTCAATATTGTGTTTTTATGACATTAATACGGTGTTTCTGTAATGATTGTAATGATGTAAGATTTCTTTGCCACAATAAAGCTTTCCCAAAACACACCCAAGCCCCCACATGTCCATGCCCTCATTTTTTGAAATCCTATGTAGACCTCTGGGGCCCTGTWTCTTGGAGCCTGAAATAAATCCATGTCAGATAAATCAGATGTTGAATGACAAAGCCCAAAATCAATTAACTTGACTCTAAAGGGCGTGGACTGGTGGTTTACTAACAATATGTTGTCAGTTTTAACGTCAGTATGAGTCATTTCAATTTGACCTAACGCAGTCAGAGAAAGGAGGACTTGTTTGGCGATTGCTCTGATTTCAGATAATCTCAGAGGTGACTATTCTCGTTGTTACATAAAATCCCAAAGGCTTTGATCTAGTAATTCAAATATAAAGCAGAAATTGCCTTGATGGGTGAACCATTCGAAGCACTCCAAAACACTGATTTGGTTAGGATCAAACTTTCTGAGATTTACGTACGCTTCCATCTCTATTTCAGCTGAATAGTCGTTTTCTTTGGACATAATTTTTAAAGCAACAGCTTTGTCAGAGTCATTTTTCCTACATCTAGCTACCAAGCCATATGTCCCTTCTCCAAGTACCTTTTCTACATGATAAACATCTGATAAATTACAGATAGTGTCTCCCACTGCCATTTTAGGCTTCTGATTAGTTGGTTTAGTGTTTGATTCATTGAGAATCAGAGAGGAAGCAAGATTTGTGATGTCCCCTGATAAATCTGTGGTTGTGGGTTGACACTTAAACAAAGAGGCCATTTCGCTGTTTGCTGAGAAAATGTTGCAGAGGCTGGCTCTCACAACCATGGAGTGAGCGGGCCCACCACGCTCCCTTCCAAGCCCTGTAGATT